TACTAAAACTTAATTACCCTAAACAACTACCGGTACGATCGTTAGTACTCGGACCCTAAATTACAATACTGAACTATGTAGCTCTATTTACTACTTTATTATATATATATATATATATATATATATATCATTTTTCATGAAATGACATTTATTGTAGCCATCATGAAAGGTGGTTGTTACACGTTTTGTCCAAATTCAACAAATGGAATTTGAATCTAATGTCTCCATTTTTCGTGGGCCACCAAAACTGGGACGAGAGAGAGAGGGACAGTATCAAAGGCAATGAGCGTAGAGTAAGGCCTTTTACTTTTCTAGCTGAAGCTCAATTTGCTATTAATTTCTCCCAAAATTTGATAACTTTTATTTTTTAATTTTATCATAGAGTCCTAACGGTGAAATCTTATAATTAATTATTGTGACCTTCTTGCATCGAAAACAAACTTGGTTGTTTCTTTTGGGTTAAAGAGGTACCTTTTCAATTTGAAATTTTGAGACCCACCTAATAAACACCAATTGATTATTTATAAAAATGGATTTTGAGTATTTCATCGATAGATTTTATAGGAAAAGAGCCCTGATTTAATTGAATAGCGCATGATGATTTGCAACATTGTCTTAAGCTAAATTTCTATCAAGATGTGGGCTCTCTCCCTGCTGACTCACCTAAAAAAAAAAAAAAAAGATTTTGTTATCCAAACGAAAGTCATGGATCACTTTATTCAATCTTGAGACTTGTTTTCTCGAGATGAATGCGTTAAGTTTCCTTCCAAGCATTTAAAATCCTTAAAGAATACCCTCATATGTAGTTTTAACCACTGTTTTAAAACCCGATGATGTAGGTTGTGACCAAAACCATAACGATGATGTAGGTTCCAATTAGATTGTCCAACCCTCTATTACAATTTTTTTTTTTAAAGGTTATCTTATTTTTTTTTTAAGTCTCACTGAATCCTAACTTCATAAATTGCTATTTTAATTTATTATTTGTTTTATTTTTAAATATTTTTTTTAATTCACCAATTCGAATTGATTCGCGTTTCATTTAGATTGTGGGTCCAACTATTGGACATTATCCATGAATTAATAAATTCGAATTTCGAAAAAACTAATTTTATAGGGCATCTTGTGGCGATAAATAAGCTGGCAGTTTCCAATACCAGTATGAGAATCTGTGGGTGTTTACGTCATTCGAAGGGATAAGGCGGGTAGGGATGGTCAGAAAAGTGAGGACCGCCTTCTTTTTCGCTTGAGGGAGAACGGGTCAGAAAGAGAAAATGAGAGAATGATGGCCAGCCTCTTTTTGGCTAGAGAGAAGAGAGAGAGAGAGTCTATATTGACGAGAGAGAAAGACATACGTATGAAGGAAGAATTTTTGTATAGGTTCAAGATTCATGATAAGTAGAATTTTTGTATAGGTTCGAGATTCATTATAAGCCGTAGAAAAAAAGAAAAAATGATGACGAGCCCCTATTTTATTATACAAATTAGTTGAAAAGAGACTGACATATGAACTAAGGGAAAATTTCTTAAAGATTTATGACAAGATGTGGCAAAATTTCTAAATTCTCATCTTGATTATTTACCTTAATGAAAAAAATTTATCAAATTGATCTTGTGAAAATAAAAAAGTGTCTTATGCTTTAAGAGAGGCCATTCAATTTTTTAGAGGTGGCCAGATCTAAGTGTCAAAAAGCTCAAAGTTTATTTTTTTATTTTAAAAATAATCGTCTCATAATTCTTAGGTAGTTTCCAACTTTTTCAGGCTCGGGTCTTTTACCTAAAGGAGTAGATACGCAAGGTGTGCGTTCGTGGAAACATAATTTACATAAGTGGTTTAAAAAAAGTCGGGTTGGCACGAAATCGCTCGGTCTGTCTCGAAAATCGATCTCCCCGTGCTAATTATGTTAAAATATAAGAAGTCATCCTGGTCTAGAAGAGAACCGGTGCTTTACTACGGTAAAACGATATTTCACTATTATAAAAATGTCATTTTGCTATAAAAAAAACCGGGTTATCGATCCGGACCAGTTTTTGGCCTGTTCATTGTTTTTGCACGTATTTTTTTTGTCAGTTCAGTATTTTTTATGCATAGTAAAACATCAATCCGAACCGTTGATTCACCGATGTACACTAGTTTTAATGTTTCCCAATCCGGGTTATCGATCCATTTTTCAAATCACTGGTTTACATGCTCTTGAGAGAAAAAGAGAGAACATTGAGTGAGGGAACTCTCTATGGCTTTTTCGAAAAGTTGTGGGTAATGGAGAATCTATACTTTTCTAGTATGATAAATGGTTAAGTGAATACCCTCTCAGATAGCTTTTTTCTAAAAGTCTCAAACCCACTAGCTATAGTAAAGGAAGCTAGTGGGGATACTCATATTAACATTGTTTGGTCTTTTCATTGCAGGTACAAGAGAATGAATGATACTTTTATGTATGAGTATCAAACCTTGTTGGACATATTAAATAATGTCCAATTTTTCCTTAATCTACATGATGATGTGATTTGAGACCTTACTACCTCTGAGGATTTTATGGTTAAGTCAGCATATGCTATTATCTTCTGCGATCGATATAAACAACTGGATCCAAGACTTTCTCAAATAAAGAAACTCTATGTTCCGCTTAAAGTTCAGTTGTTTCTATGGATACTTTGTCAGTACAAGCTAGCCACTGTGGATAACTTAAGGAAGCGATGGTTCATTATACCCAATGTTTGTATTTTGTGCAAAGCTAGCAAAGAGATGACCCAACATTTATTCCTCTTCTGCCCTTTCATTTATGATATTTGGAATTGGGTTTGCCAATGCCTCTCAACTTATCCATTCCAGTTCCAGAATTTTACAGATTGCTTATCTCTCAATGGTTATCCCATGGTATCCGAAATGTGGGTAACATATTTTGGCGTTCTTTATGGGTAGGTGTCCTTTGGAGTGTGTGGAAGGAGAGAAACCGAAGAATGTTTGAATGAATCTTTATTGATTTTGCTCTACTAAAATTTAACATTTTAGCCTTAGCTGCAGATTGGTTTTCCTCTCACAAAAATAGTGGATCTACATCAAAGAGTCTTATCATTGACAACCCCTTAGCAGTCGCCACTTTGGGCAACATGAGATCTACTCGAAGAGCTGTTGTTCGGTCCCCTCATCCTTTGTACTCAAACAAATTGAACTTTGATGGCAACACCTTTGGCAATCCAAGAGCATCAAGCTATGGTAGGTTGATTAGAAATCATTTGGGTCATGTCTGGTACTCATATTCATGTCCGTGCGGTATTGCTACCGCAATGAAGCGGAGGCTAGAAGTCTCCTGGAGGGTTTGAAACTTCTTTCACGGTGGGAAGGGCACAAGATTATTGAAGGAGATTTGGCAAATGTCATAGCTTGTTCCATAGAGCCTTAGAGATAGGAATGTTTCATGAGATTAGGAATATCCTTTCTTCTTTCAACGCTAACTAGCATCATTGCTATCGTGAGGCGAATGAGGAGGCAGATGCCTTGGCCAAAGGAGGAGCTAACTCCACTTGGGATACGGATGCATCTGTAGGTGGAGAGGCAAGGTGCACCTTAAAATTTTATCATGGTATATAATTTTGATGTAAAATTTTCTTAAGATTATCTCAAAATCTATTTTTATATCTAATTATAAAATTTTAAATTTCAAAAATGGCTAAAATCAAGTAGATCTATAAATATATGAAAATCTTGATAATGGATGGTGAAGATAATATGTCGTAAAATGCACTATTTCTAAAACTTAAAATATTTGTATTTTTTATGGTCATACATTTGAATGACGAGATGATCAATCAAAGGGTTTTACAACATTAAAACTTCATTTTTCGATGGATTTTTTATGTGCATCCGTAGTTCTACATTATACTTTTTTTTTGACGGATTTTGTATGTGCGTAGCTCTACATTATAAGGTTGCATCCTTATATAAACTTTTTTTTTATTTATTTATGTAAAAAAAGAGAACGCAAAAAACAACAATGGCTTTAGAGAGAGAGAGAGAAGATTGAGAGGGAACAAGAACCCCGGCTTGGCTTGGCTTGGCGCGACGCCGAGAGTGGTAGCCGTGGCATTCAGAGCCGTATACTTTCCCGTCACGTGCCGAGTCTGACGTGTTGACACGTTTGTCTGTCATCGTCCGCCGCGCCACTGACGTGGACGTACCGTTTTGGATAAGTCTGACTCCTATAAAACCGTCTTTTTTCTTATTGCCCTCACAAGCTATAAATTTCCTATTCCGAACCTTGGCTTTGCAATAGAACGGACGAAGGTTGAATGGGTCATTACTATATTTTCTGTGACTAAAATGAGACCTTATCCTAATCGAAAAGATCCCAAAATAGTAAAGAAAATCAATTGTGGGGCCTTAACCTAATATTTCCCGTCCTATATTTACTCTGCAACAATTGAGCTCCATATCTCACAGTGCTTTGTTTCTCTCTCTCTCTCTCTCTCTCTCTCTAAAAATCCGAAGTTTTCTCTCTCTAGACTCCGGAGTATCGCATTGGCTTCTCTCCATCCTTCCTTGCTCATTGTTTCTCTGAAACCCAAATTTTCCCCCTTTCTCTCTCTTTCCTTGTTCATTGTTTCTCTGAAGCCCAAATTTTCCCCCTTTCTCTCTCTCTACTTGCATTGCTACAATCCCATATTTTCTCTCTCTAAATTTGAGGCTTGTTTGAAGATGTTGGCAATATTCCAAAAAGCATTCGCTCATCCACCTGAGGAGCTCCACAGCCCGGCCTCAAAGGACCAGACATCAAAATGCCCCGATCAGATCCTCCATGACTTTCTCTCTCTATACCCTCAAAATTCCGTCTGTACTAAGTTCGGGGACAGGGCCGTTCTCGCCTACGTTCGATCCCAAGAGCAACCCGGGTTTCGAAGGTAACACAACAAATCCACACTCTAATTCCTCCATTCTTTTCCTCTAATGATTATTAATGGGACAAATTTGCTTAACTCGGTTTGGACCTGGACACGATCCGAGGTTCTGGTAAATAGCCGGTTCAGGTTCAGGACCAGATGTAGCCCAGGTCGAGAATGATCTATCTATATTACGTTATTAAGCCATATCGTCAATAATCGGTGCATGATATGTAGGGTGTTTTGTGGAGTGGATGAGGTGTATTGCCAATTCAAAGGGAATTTAGACAATCTGAGCAGTTTGATAAGGCAATATGGTTTGTGTAAGGCCACAAATGAAGGTCAGCTCATTATCGAAGCTTACAAGACTTTGAGAGATAGGGGGCCTTACCCTGCTGATCAGGTCATCAAAGATTTCCATGGACGGTTTGGATTCGTCATCTATGACAGCCGCTCCGGTGCTGTCTTCACTGCTCTGGTAAAAAAGATCCCCTCAACTCTCTCTGATTTTGTTTCTCAAGTTTTTTACCATTTTCGCATGGGGAGAATCTTGGCCACTTTCTCTCTAATACTTGTCATATTTATTCATAGATTGGTGCAATTTTAGTTGATCTCAGAAAAAGAGGGCTAATTTTCAATTTTTTGTTTCTTCGAGTAAATCTGTGGGGAAGAAGGCGCATCATCAATAATAGAAAAGACTACGGCTCATATTTTAATGACCCTGCAATATCATAAAGGAATTCGTGCTACATCGAATATTTGCATATAATTAGATCTACTTTACTTTTTGAGCTGCAAAATCATGGAACGAAAGCATTAATATTTCAAATTCTAAATCCATGAAAAACTATAGTGAACTCATGCATTTTCGAGATGCACATTAAACTTTTATTTGATTGTGGTTTCTCTCTGAATATGTTTCTACTTTGAAACAACAGAGTGAGGATGGTGGGATGGAGATGTACTGGGGCATCGCGGCCGACGGATCGGTGGTTTTATCGGATGAGATGCAGCTCCTTAAAGCCGGATGTGGCAAGTCCTTTGCTCCCTTCCCACCAGGTATTTTTCTTCCCATTTTAGTGTCTCCTCTTCAATGTCTCCCTCTCAAATAGTTCTTCCCATTTTAGTGTCTCCTCTTCAATGTCTCCTTCAGAAAATGAAAGAGAGATAAAGGGTTACTTTGAAAACCTCGTCAATTATGGAAAGTGATAGCCCCATCTAAAATTATGGAAGTTGATATGCCTCTCTAAAATTATGGAAGTTGATATGCCTCTCTAATTGAATCAAGTTTGAAGGGCATTGAGTGAGCCTAACCTATTGCTTCGTATAAGGCTGAGGCCCTAAACAATTAAAGTATCAAAATATATTACTTCAGTATCATAAATCTTTTTGACGGCCTGAAAATTCATTTTCATCTCTTATTGTAAATTTTAAAGATTAAAAAATTGTGTAGACCGAACAAATCTATGAATATTTGAAAATATTGAAAATTGACGGTCTGGATAATACGTTACAAAATGTACTATTTCCAAAGCTTGAAAGCTATTTTTTCTTATGTCAGTAGGCCGATCAAATTAAAGGTTTTTAAGCATCTAAACAACCTTTTCTAGTTAATATTTGAGGCATGCTTTAATTTGATTGTTTCGGCCTCACCGTTGTGTAGACTTTTT